TCCTTCACATTATGTACTTTATCTGTTGATTTTTGAAGATAGATGGTCTCATTATCTGCTGAGGCCCCATGGTGAGTCACTGGGCTTAAGTTTGTTGAAATCTGAAAGTGGATGGAAGGTTCAGACTGTTCTGCTGCAGACATATAGCTCTCCTTGCGTAGGAGTGAAGGCCTTTCAGGGTGCCTCAGGCGTCCTTGCAAGGAGTCTTCCACTACAGCACTTTGTGGAAAAACCAAATCACGCATAACGATGGGACTTACAGGAGCATCAATGAAGCTGGTGTCCTCTGTTCCATATTTCTTCTTCGATACAGTGTTCCGCTCATACTGGGCAAGCAACATTTTTGAATCTGTTATTGAGTGAGAGGAAGATTCAACATAATAGTCATATATTTTTCCACTCACAGTCTTGCCTCCTGATCCTTCCAGTACTACTTTGGCATCTTCTACTTTGATCTCCGCCTTAGAGAGGAAGCTGGAGTAGACCCCCTGGTGCTCCAAGTCCTGTCTTAACTCTCTGCTCACACCCACTCCACCATCTAGCTTCTCTAAACGGCAAGGAGAGCGACGTCCAGTAATAGCTGCCATCCCATAATTTGTTGGATCATGTATCTTCAAAGTAGATCCAATTGAAATATTATTTGGGCAAACAGTTGGTTGGTCCTGATGAAGCTTCTCCTTCTCTGTGTATTTATTTTGATCATTATTTAAATGACTAAATACACTCTTACTCTTTTCAACTTGGTGTGAATGAGATTTATTAAGTATTCCCTTGGTGCTATTGGATTCCAAGTCATTAGTCGCTAAGTCTTGCTTGGCATCATCGTCCTTGTCTTGAAAACAGAGATGCGGCTGTGTCCTCTTGTAGTCGTGGCTGGCAGAATTTTCTGTCTCTCTGTTTTCTTTGCCACAGGGTTTAATTTTCCTCACGTCTCTGGATCTGTAGAATCTGAAGGCCCAAGAAACCAGCAGCACTGCAGCAGCAGAGAAACAAAGTTTCACCAGCAGCTGCATGTCGAACTGGACTCCGAGAAGGTCTGCAATAGGCATAGCTGGAAAAAAAAATAAGACAGCAAACGTTGGTTGAATGAACCTTTCAGCTATTGTCTAAATGCCTCAGCTGCATGAAGCTGTCTGGTTTCCATTGTAAAAGAGCTGCTGTGATCCAATGACTACGCCTCTTTGCCCAAAGGATCAAGTGTAAAATGATAGCTTTAGAGTAGCTATTTGCATCCCTTGCTCTGGAGAGGCGGGGCACTTTCATACACCACCTGTAGCGAGTCAGGTGCAGTTTCTTTTACTATCCACAGAGTATCCAAATATTTGGCTTGCTGACTCACTCTTGTTTTTCTTAAAACCATTTAAATGCCATCTACATATTCAGATCAATGATACCTTTAAAAAACAAAAACGTTTTTTGTGTCCATGCTGCAGCAAATCAAACATGTCAAGGAGTGGACTGGCTTACAATTTGCTGAAAAATGTATCAAATACATAATCATGGATAACATTTCTTTAACTTCCTACTTTGTTTAGAGCTGCAGTAGCAAAGTCTAGTTTGAATAAGGGGTGGAGAGGTATGATGGGTGCATCTAGCAAATGGTTAATAACCAGGATACATCTGTTTGCATAGCTATAACAAAGAGCAAAGGTTCGTCCTTGTGCCTGCAAAGTCTCCTAAATTACTATTTCTGGAAATAAGCCCAAAGAAAGAAAGGTAGGCCACAAAAAAGATAAACGGCAATACAAAAACAGAACTGTCAGGTGGCCATGAAAAACACAATCAGAAGATTTTCCATTGTGAAAACTGACAGTGCCATTTATTCCCACTGGATGCAAACATGTATTTCTGTCATACGTGAAACATGCCACTCTCCACTGTGAGGCTGTCATTATTGTTGCTGATAACATACTAGAGCAAGCCTACAATCAGGAACAAAACAGTTTTTTTTTATTTCACCAGCCCTTTGTGAAGCATTATAAAGATACGTTACGCTGGACTCTTTCAGAGGGTGTGTCAGGTGTCCTGTCAGCTGCAAAGGTTCTGTGGTCATCTGATAGTCAAGCCTGATGACAAAAAAAAAGAAACTAGATTCTGCGAGCATGGTTGACTTCTGAATAATTCACAAATGGGCCATGAAAGCAGCTTCTTATGCTCACTGTTGCTCCAGGTAGAAAAACAAGAGTGTGATTGAAATCTATAGACTTTTTGTGTTGAGACACTTGCACTTCTTATTTTCACCATCTGCTATGGTTGATCAGTTTATGGCAACATGAGGAAAGAAAGCACAAGATGCATTTTAATTGGTGTTTTTACGCAGGTCAGTATAACTTGGAAGCAGTACCCTGGCCTAGTTAGTGGCCGAGTGTTGTTTTTCCATGGCTTTACTGACAAACCAGTTTGAGAAAAACAAATAATGACAAAACCCTGTGGCTTAAGGTTTACACAGTTTCCATCTGTCCCTGACTACACCAGTAAACAGTGGCTAGGTGATTAAACAGAGCATCTTTCTTCCTATTTTTCAGAAACGATAATAAAGTCATATATTTAAAAATGTCTGCTCAGTTTAGGTTTATCTATGCTAGGCTAGATATAACTGAGAAATTTCAAACATAATCAAAAAATGTGATTAACCACATTATTCATTTTAAAAGAATGCACTTTTAAAATGATTCAACATGACCATGTAGGATCAAGATGATTTGCATATTCTAATGCATTTAGAAATTGAGCCGCTTCTCCTTCCTTCTTCAGCGTGAAGTGAGTCATAAATGTAAAGAAAAATGCAGAAAATTGCATACTGAACATAATTACAAACCAATAATAGTTTACAGTGGATGGACCAGGATCCACTGTGAACTTGTTACTAATAAACAAGAAAACTAATCAAAGCTCTAAAGGGGCAGCATTTTGTATTTTCCACATTTTATTGCTTGAACCAAAATTACCTTCAGTATTTATATATAAAAAAAGCTCTTTATATGAAAAATAACTTCAAAGAAATTTGACATCTTGATATTTGGCCTGTGTGTCTGAAGCCCCCTATCTTTCTGACACTCCACCTTCAGTAAGTCTTCACAGCAATTCTCCGTCACTGCGCCACTTGCAACTGTCCTTAAGAGAGTTGGACTGAGACGTAGTTTGTATGATGAGCTCAGCAGACTCACCACCAGGTGTTTGCTAATTGCTGCTGCTAGTCTAGTGGAACTCTGTGGGGAAGGCGTGGGGGAGGGGTGATCTCTGAGGAGGAAGTTTGGCCGGAGATTTCAGCTCCACAGAGGAGTCATGAAGAAATAGGCGCCACTTTGTATGAGCAAGAATCCCTGAATGGCCAACACAGGACATTCAAAGATCCATAAATATGTATGACATAATTATGCTTCCAATGGGGGAATAACATTGTAGCATGATACAAAGCTAAAAAACATCAATTTCATATAATACCCCCCCAATTTAAAACTGCCTGTTACCTGAGCTACACAGGTAACAGCAGTACTGAACTTTGAAAATATGACAAACAAAAAGATCTGTCTCACTAAGCGATTCATTAGTCATCTATGACCTGCAAAGCATAAAGAAAACATATGAGAATTTCATACAGTAAAACATCAGATCAGTTCTAAAACTATGGAAAAAAAATTTCCATAGATTTTTTTTTTCCCCTATGAAAAGCAAAAATGAAAACAATGCATTTGCATGGCCTAATTTTGTAGGATTATTAACAGGACATCAGCAATTTCTGTAACCTTTCAAGTATAGAATGCAACATGTGTATCAGAAAAATGTCAAACTCTTGCTCAACGGTAAGTAAAGCCAAGGCTTGTGAGTTTTATCATCTCTCCATTTTAATACAGGTGAAATGAAACAAATGCAACAACCCTGTTTACACAAGCTGCCTCTTGTGAGCTCCTCCCTGGAATGGCGGCTAAAATGATCCTACTTGTACTGGTAATGTCTGGGGAAGAGTTACGCATTTTACACAATGTAGGTCACAAGTAAATAGCTGGGTTACAGGCTAGTGACAAAGAGCTGCGGTGCTGTCAGTTGCAACACATGAAAAGGAGAAAGAATCTTCAAAAGTCACATGCACCACAACCCCAAAACAGCAGACAAATGTTTTTTTTTGTTTGTTTTTTTTCTCTGTCCTTAGAAGAACAGACAAATTCTTATAAAAAGCCTAAGTGACAAACAGAAATAATGTTCTTTCCTTCCTCTCAATCAAGAATTATATCTGAAAGTTGAATGAAGTACAAACAAAGGTGGAGAAGCATAAACTCCAACAATCTCAGCACCCATTCCTCACCGTCACCCATATAACTTCTTTAATTATTTTTCAGTATTTACACTGTAGTACACAAAATACACTCAAAAAAGAGATTTCTCCAGATTTCTCAATGCATTTAAATCTTCATGTACATTCCAAGCCATCAGAAAGAAAAAGTATATATATATATATATATATATATATATATATATATATATATATATATATATATATATATATATATATATATATATATATATATGAAAGTTCCCTCGGAGCATCTGGAGGTCTGTTCTCCCATCATTTTTCAGCTTGTTGCTAATCTGGTCCATTCCAGGACATGTAACAGATGGGAGTGGTTGATAGGATGGTGCAGTCAAAGCCAGTTCCATTTGTCCACATTTCACAAAACACCAATAATATTGTGACTCATGAAAATAAAATCCAAATGCTTTTTTTTCTTCTGTTTTAAATCATCAGATTTTTTTTTTAATCAACAGGCAGACTTGGGACAAGGAACAAAAAAAAAGTAATAGGATGGAACTATATAGGAGGTGGTAACTGTGAAGTTCATCACGTTGTTCTTTTTATATTATCTTGAATATAATTTTGTTATAAAACAAAGTACCATCACGTGGTGGCACTGATTCTTGTTTGACAGATGACAAGAGGGTCTGTTGATGACTGGAGTAGGCTTGCAGGATTGTGGAAGGTCTTTGAACTGTATGTATGTTTGTTTTCTGTGTGCATATTCAGATGTTGTGTTTTGTATGGGCAAAATGTGTGTCTATATTTGTGAGGGAGAGTGTCTTGAAGAAGCAGTTTCACGTCAGTCCCACTGTAACTGTGAGAACAAGTGCAAGCCACGTCAGTCCACGCTTTTCTGTGCGAGTGGCTTCATCTGCAAAAAAGGAAAGAAAAACCCCAACATGAATCAGACATTGATTTCCTCTTGATTTATAACAGCTCATGTTCATGACATTCAAATGCAACAAGATTAATTAAGAGAATGTAATTTAAGACATCCTAGAACTCTATAGTTTGTAAGTTTCCATGATTTTCCCCTTGACTATTTAGCTAAACTCTGAAAAGCAGTTCTTGAATTATTTTTTTTGTCTATAATAATATGATCTGCCACATTCCTCTTAATAATTATCAGAAGCCAGAGTAGCTCAGCACTTTATTAAGTGCATGTCCATTAATCGACTGCAGTGGAGTATGCAGGAGCAACAAAGAGCAGCAAATTCAAGCCATTTTAAAAGTGATGTCTATACTTTTCATGTTAAAATGACAGCATATCATATCCTGATACTGCTGACACACTTACAGTATTTGCATTTCCTCTTTAAATTTTTCCCATCAACACTTTTCTGCCCTGTTGTTTTATGATGAAACAACTTTTAGAGAAAAAATTATTTTAGATCTGGAAAAACACAGTAATTTTAACCTGAGCTCCAGATGTAAGGTGAAGACTAAATACTAAAAAAACAACTTTAGTAGACAAGTATGCTTTGGCTTGTGACCTCATCAGTTGGTACAAAACAGTTTGTGGTTAAATAAAAAAGCACAAAAAGTTATTTTCTATGAACATGAGCTACAGTTCATAGAAAAGAAAATGAACCAATCACACATTCACATGCAAACAGCTTTAGCAACCCCTACCTGCACTGTAATTTTAAATGTGGGCCTTGCATAAAATTGTCCAAAAATGTAAAATCATTAACATCATTGTGATTTTCATCACAAAAGTCTGAAACCTACTGTAGAAACCACAGTTTACAGGAAAACCAAGAATATTAGTGAGAGAGAGACTTCCCTGCCTGGGAAAAGAGAGCCTGTGACACACTGAGGACCAAAAGGTTAAGACTTTTTCTTAAGTTAGGTTATGTGAAGCTCTTAAGGTTTGTGGGTTTGAAGAAAAAGCAATAGTGGAAGGTTAACAGTCTAACAGGACCGCCAATTTTTGATTGGGGGTGGAGTCTCCTTTTTTTCAGGTGTCCAAACTGCTTAAAACTGACCCTGGTGCAATAATGATTATTTTATCAGGCAAATCGTTACAGCAATCAATCTCCTTCCATGTAACTTGAGAACAGTAACGCTGTATCTTAACAATACATTTAACAATGGTCTTTTGTGAAAACATAAAAGGGGAATACAACTGTAAACATATCTTTATGTCCTAGGGATGTAAACATTTCTGGTTAATGTCTCTTAAAATTGCAATCTCAGACAAAACAGACGGTTAATTTGGCAACAGTGTTCTAATAGTATGGGATTTAAGACTTAAAATGTCTACAAAAAACACTCTTCATTAGTGATTGATTATACTGAAACATGTTGTAAAGTTTGTTTATATAAAAAATATACAAATAAGTAATTCAAATGTAGAAAATTACTAGCATGAAAATTACCTAATAAAATCTAAATGAGGTCAAGTTGCATTAGTGTGGATTACTTATTCTTTACTGTAAACCAAAGATCAAATTGCATAGAATGATGTTATATAATATCATGATATCCATAATACACAGAAATTAGAAATTAATTGTTGTGCATAAGAACTGTTTTTGTACACAATTCTGCTCCATAAACCATAGAGACACCAGTCAACAAACTGCCATGATTTATTTTTATTTTATGTACCTTGCTAGGAGTACATCTGGAGAATAAAACTGATGAATAGGTTTGATTGCATCCATTTACAAAATTTATGATTGTCATTCTCTGTAAGAGACCTCAATACAGCCACTTTTGAGCGCAAAGAACTCTTATATAGAAAATGTCTTCTGAAGTGTCAATATTGCTTCATATATCAGTTGTCGCAGCATCAAACTAAATGTTTTTGCAATTTACTTCACGTCATATCTTGCTGTGTGGAATGGGTGATATTTTTTACACAGATTTTATTTTGTTTGTTTTGTTGATTTAAATCTGTATGATTGGTAAAGACCTTTCCTATTCCCTAAAGGATATCCTGCTTTGAAATTAAAGTTACTGCAGGAGAAAGATTGTTGCTGACTGTAGGTGTGTCTTTGTTGACATAAACTGTTTATTCAGATAGTGAAAGTCTATGGCTAAAGAACATTCACATGCACACTGAAGAGCTGGTGACATAAAGGTGTGGCTGCACTTCATATGATCTGGTGCCTGTTAGACCTGTTAGTGAAAACGGATTAGTATGTCTGAGCAATGTGTTGAAACATTTTTTCTTTTAAGTTTAGACATAAAACAGTTGGATTGTCTTTGTAATTATGATTGAAGCAAAAAAATAAAAAAAATAAAAAATCAAAGTTCCAGCATCAGAGTGCACTCTTTTTTTATTCAAGTCATGAAACATTCAACAACAACTGGATCGCTGTAACGAGTACACTCTCTCATTAGGTAATGGGCTCATTCAAGCATGGGATCATCATCTGAGGTGCCCTTCCAGACTACAGTCATGGGGGGAAGTCACCCAGCCATTTGTTTTTCCTCATATGTTTGGCTCAGATCTTTCAGCATTTCTGCCAAATTAATTTTTCTCAGACCAGTGGGACGGATGTCTGCAGGAAGATGTTGAGCGATTGCTTTATGTGCATGACCTAAAATGCTAAAAGCAATATTTTCCTTTCTCTATGCTAAATAAAAACAATCCAGAGGAAGCTTATTATTTCTAACAGTGGCAAGGACCTGCACACTTGTAACCCCGGCACTCTGTTTCCTATTCCTAAAGTGTTTCAAAACGGGATAAGAATTTGAATTTTGCATACCACTGCTTTAAATGCAGATCACATGATGACAGCCTCCTGCTTGCAATGTGGCTTCTTTTTTTTGACTGAGTAAAAGCAACGTTTCTCTCCTGAGAGTTTGTTAAAAAATTAGGTTTTTTACATTTACACGTCTGTCTCGGGCCTGACAACCTCACACATTTGGCACTCCAGCTAGACAAGGCTGATACAGTAATATTTGACAGAGAACAGGTCTTCAGTTTCCCTCATCTGATAAGTGCAGTTCATTGCCAAATAACGCAGTGTGATCAGCTGCATCACAGGGAGAAATACTGACAAAGATTAACAAACGCGGCCCGCAATACAAATAGCTGGTAAATGTTTTCTGTAACCTTCACCAACTCATTGTTGGTGGTTCTTCCCGTCAACCTGACAAGGATTTGGACATTCAGCCTTAATGCTCAGGCTTATGTACTGTAACCTCTTGGCTTCATGTTGTACATCCATTTGACTTGCATGCAAGACACCTGTGTATGCCCATTCTGACCTAATTCTGTCCTTGCTCTGACACACCTGTTCCCGTGGTTTCCATGGCATTTGCATTCTCAAATTTGCATGCCACAGATATGGCTTGCAGAGAAAGAGCAAAATGCAGATTAACTTGAAGCAACAGAGTTGGTGTGAGAAGCTAAAAAAAATAAATAAATAAACAAGGTGATGTTTCTGAAATTGAAGATTGAGGTTGAGTAAAAAGCCCTTATTTTAATAAACTGTTTCCTGACTACTGCAGATCAGCCCAAAGACAACTCTGATTACTGTCTGCCTCGGATGCTTTTCCTGCTGCAGACTGGGACAAAGTTGGGCATTACATGCATGCACTGGAGCTTATACTGAAACAATTATAGCATAAAATTAATTTTTCAGTCCATTAGCAGCTCATTACATAAAAACAGAAGAAATAAAAAAAAACAAAATATGCTAAATATTTTATTAATGCTTTGTTGCTTGTAAATTGCCAGAAGTCATGAATTCTACTTAACACATTCTGTTTAACCAAAAAAAGAAGAAGAAAAAGAAAAACATATTTAACATTAATTAGCAACTGTATTTTCATGTGGATTCATAAATGCATGTCCATGACCTTCTTTGTATTAATAGGTTTCTCATAATTATCATGAAGAATTGATTCGTGAGCAGAAGATGAGGTGGTTGTACGACGCTGTACATCAAGTAGTGAAACCAAAGTTCAGCAATTCCATTATAAAACAAATATCACATCCTTGTTTTCTATTTGCTCATGATTTTACTAAATTTTATAATAACTGTTTAATTAGGTTGAAAGTTATACATATACTTGCCAACATGTCTGCAGTATATTTATAACAAAGTCCTTCTTGTCCTAGACTGACATGTGATATAAGAGAAGTGTGTAATTACATCCGAATTAAAACTTTGCATATTTTACCATATTTCCATAAAACCAAAGTTAGAGTGGTGTAACTCAATCTAACAGTATTTTTTAAAAAACAATATTACATTGATACAGTTGTATCGCTTAAACTTGCCAAATTTTCTTGTTACTGACACTACAGGCAAATTGCTGTTTCCCTCAGAAAGGAATTAAAAATTTTGATATTCATACAGCCTGCAGTGGCTCACAATCCATGGCATGCTTAATAGTCTGATAAAATTTGGTTGGATTGTCTTTTTGGGCAAGATTACCATTGTGTGAACCAGCTCCTTGCAGTGAAACTGAGTGTGACCTGCTAGCCACAGAGCTGACTTGTAAAATAGACCCATTGTGATTCATTTCAGCGTTTCACATTTGACATGATGAAAAAAGCATTCAAAACTCATTTCAGTATCTAATTAGCCTTGCAACACTTTTTGAAAATATGCATGTCTACCTGGATATCCTGTTTTCATAGCGGCTGAGGGAGCCCAGAATCTATAGCTGCCTAACAAGTGTCGACTGCACAGTCATTTCACAAATAAATGAATGTAGATTACATGCTTTCTGACTGAAGACAAAAATCTTGCCTTGAGTGGGTTTTGCAGTGTAGCTGAGATGTGGGTGGAAATGAGCTTTACTAATCTAGATGAGCCATTAAAGAGTCTTTTGTTAAAGTTCACTCAGTTTTTCTTACTACTGTATCACAGCTCTGATTGCTATATAGGGCCGCACTCTAATTTCTGTCTTGGTGAGTTGTGAACCACTTCATGCTTCAGAGGCCCATCTGTTAAGGCTCAAAACTCTGGTTACTTTGCCAAAGCTGAATGTTTTTCACACTAAAGTATGATCTATACTCCTCTTAAAGTCTGAGTGAGTGAAAATCTGCATCAAATCAGAGACTCTGAGCTAAGAGGAGAAGCAGAAAAAAAAACACTGATGGAAAGGAATAAAGAATAAGAGAAAAAAAGTGAAATGTTGACAATGGGGAATGAACCAAAAAAATGGTTGAAGCAGCAAGATATATTGTAGAATGAAACTGGGAGAACAAAAGTGAGCACATTTTAGAGTGGAAAAGGAAAGACAGAAAGATTGCAGTGTGAGGCGGAGGGAAAGACAGCAAAATTAGAGGGATGGAGAGTCTGTTGTCACATCGCTGTGGCTTCTCTGCAGAATCCTTCACTTTACATATGATAATCTGAGAAGCCAGAAACGAGCCCCCCACTGCACATATGAAACACAGATAATCTTGCACTTTTTCAACAGTGATGTGCCTGGCTAGTCACTGAAGTGGTATCCACTTGTGAACACCGTCATAGCTTAATTCTGTCTGAACTGCTCATAAAGACTTTACATATGGCAAATCATTTCATACATTGTACTTATGCTATGCTGCACTCCATACATTAACACCACACACTAAAGTTTGTTATCCTAAGAGCTGAAATACTTACTGTTGGGATTCTGCGTGTTTTTCATCATGCTCGGATTTTCTGTTGGGGAAAAAGAGATGAGACAATGAAATGCTGCAGTTGCTATAGAGATGATGAGTACTTTAGTGAAAAGAAGAATGAAAGTATTATTAGAAAAAAAAAATGTAACTAAGAAAGAAAGAAGGAAAAAAATGCATTCTCTGACAAAGCTTGCATTTCTCTAATGGAGCTGAATTCCAAAGTTATCGAAGTGCACAATAAATGGCACGTCCCCGATAAGAAAGACCGAAGCTAGTTAATGGACCTGGGAACACAAAGCACTGCAACAGAACAACCAGAACACTTTTCAAGAAGCAGTAAGAGCAGCGAACAGCAGCTAAGGGCCAGCAGGTATGGGTAAGAGATTTGGAGCCTCTACATTTAATAGACTGCATCAACATCTCTGACAATGTGTTCTCAATGTTCTCACAGGGATAAAGTAATTGCAAAGGAGGCAGCGGGAGGGTTTGCAGAGTGTTAGTAACCACTCTTTAATTCCCTTCTGCGAGCTATTTTTGGATGTTTAACTTTGCATATAAGTAGATGGAAGGCACATGTAAAGCACAACGTGAAACTGCTCTGGTCTCACTGGAGCCACACAAACACAAAATTAATGTGTCCACTCTCAGTGTGCACCCATGTGCTTACCACACCCAGCAAATTTGCTTAAGTATACATATCTGTGTGGGCTTCTTCATCTAAGTACAGTTTATATTTTGTTTGCCGCTGCCAGACTATATTTGTCTGACTCATTTTACAATTATGTAAGACCATATTACCACTTGGAGTGGTGAAAGACTTAATATGTTAATTCAGCCTGCAGGTAGGGAGCCTGCAGGCTCCCTACCT